GTATCACCCATGATTTTTTTTAGTTGGCAAAAATAATTTGTAAATTGTAAATTGTAAATTGTAAATTGTAAATTGTAAATTGTAAATTGTAAATTGTAAATTGTAAATTGTAAATGCATATTACATATATATCACCCATGATTTTTTTAAGTCGGCAAAATAATTTGTAAATTGTAAATTGTAAATGCATATTGCATATGTATCACCCATGATTTTTTTAGTTGGCAAAAATAATTTGTAAATTGTAAATTCTTAATTGTAAATGCATGAGTAAATAATAATTAATGCATAAGTATCAACAATACTTATTTTAACGTTGGCAAACATAAAAGCGGTTTTCATCTAATTTTATTAAACAAAACTGTAAATTGCATGATGATATTTTCATATATACACACATATTCTGGATTTGGTCAATTTCCTAACACTCGAGTGTTAGAAATCTGCAAAGTTATCTTTTTCAAGAGGATATATCTTTAAATCCAAGACGAGTAGAACAAAATTACACCATATTTTTTATAAAAAATGGCTAAAACTATATATTGAAACAATAAATGTCAATTTAAAAATAATAATAAGGTGTAAGAATTAGTTTTTGATGATTCTTGATGTCATTTTCGAACATATCCCTATTTTGAAACAATTACTGGATTTCAGCTCATGTTGCGACTTGCGTTTTCGGAACATATCCTGGTTTTCAGACAATTACCGAAATTTGTATCAATGTCAATTTTTAAGCATTTACGCACTTACGTCACAAAAAGGATTTTTGATTAGGTAAAATATAAATAGAAAATTAAAACAAACTGTTCTTTTATAATTTAAAAGTCATTACAGCATTGAGAAATCAAAATAGTAATATCACTTGTTCTTACAATATAGATTTAACTACAGGGTGTCCCAATAAAAAAGGGAATTCAGTGACGAATTCGATATCGTCTTTGTTATGAATTAGCATTGTAATACCTAATTTCAAAAAACATAATATTATTATGTCTGCTAGAGTTTATTTTATGAAAGCGGTAAATGGCTGTAAAGATTTACAATTTACAATTTACAATTTAGAAATTAGTTTAGTCAATAATAAATTATTGTCATTATACGCTTAGGCATTTACAATTTAAAATTTACAATTTAGAAATTAGTTTAGTCAATAATAAAATATTGTCATTATATGCTTAGGCATTTACAATTTACAATTTACAATTTACAATTTACAATTTAGAAATTAGTTTAGTCAATAATAAATTATTGTCATTATACGCTTAGGCATTTACAATTTACAATTTACAATTTACAATTTACAATTTACAATTTAGAAATTAGTTTAGTCACTAAAAAATTATTGTCATTATACGCTTAGGCATTTACAATTTACAAATCCTCCAGTTTTCATCCATAAACGTCTACATTTCCAATTAATTATATTCAAATTACAATTTATGTGTAAATGACAATTTACAAATAGGTTGTAAATTTAGGGTACACAAATGAAGAGGTTCCAAGGTGCACAAATCAAAAGGTTCCAGGGTACAAAAATCAAGAGGTTCTAAAGAACACAAATCAAGAGGTTCTAAAGTACACAAATCAAGAGGTTATAAGTACAAAAATCAAGAGGTTCCAGGGTACACAAACTAAGAGGTTCCAGGGTACACAAAGGAAGAGGTTCCAAGGTGCACAAATGAATAGGTTCCAGTGTGCACAAATCAAGAGGTTCCAGGGTAAACAAATGAAGAGGTTCTAAGGTTCACAAATGAAGAAGTTCCAGCGTACATAAATGAAGAGGTTCCAAGGTGCACAAACAAAGAGGTTTTAGGGTACACAAATCAAGAGGTTATAAGGTGCACCAATTAAAAGGTTCCAGGGTACACAAATCAAGAGGTTCTAAAGTACACAAATGAAGAGGTTCCAACTTTATACAGTTTAGAGGACTAAAAATCTGCCAAACGGTGGAGTTAGAAAAATCAATTGATGGTATTCGGAATTGAGTCTTTACCACAAACAAATCCCTATATCTTCAGAACCTAATGTCGCAGACTTTAGATATTTAAAACTATGAATTCTGTTAAACCAAATAGTCCAGGTTTGAAATATCCCGGTTTGCATCATGAGGTTGTAAAGATATAAGGTTTAGAGAATTCGAGTTTGTGGCAACGATTCAACTCCATTGTCTTTAAGACGCTATGGATAGGACATTATAGTGTGCTAACCGTTTTCTTTTTTCTTCCTTTAAGTTTCTTGCTGTTCTAAAAGGAAAGTTTTTAGAAAATGTCTTATACGCCAAGTTTTTACTTTTATCTGATGATTCCTGTGACCAAAGTTTTAGATCTAAGCTTTTTATAAAACTGTTTTCCTTTCAGTATTTATAAACAGGGTGATTAAAGATATATACAGGGTGATTTAAAAATATGAACAGCTATAGTGTTGTCTGTTAAAAAAAAAGAAAATTCCGTGAAATTCTTATTTATTATGATTTTCCTGTCTCTGTTTGAGATTTTTTTTCTTTTTCTTTGTAACTAACATGGCCCCAAAAAGAATCGCAAATCTCTTTTTTTTTATCAAAATTAAAAGAGCAAATCTAAAATTTTAGAATTAACTAGAAATAAATTGTTATATCAGGGTGCTTTTCTATACTTTTGGTTTTGAGATGAAAACCCTTTTGCGGTTTTTTTTTTAACCTTAGAGGATATCCGGCCTCACAAAAATCTAAAATTATTATTTCAAATTATCGAAAATGTGAACTGCATTAGAAAAATCAGACTTTTTAACTCACCCCCCTGTATAATGTTTGAATTGACAATAATTGTATATTTAGTAAGTTACGTAAAATGTATTTCTGCACTATAGTAAATCTTGATGTTGTCACTAAATTCTCATGTTTTTCGAGATGCATAATTGAAATCCTACATTTTATCATTCATGCCTCTGTACTTATTTTTGAAATATTGGAGCAATCCATTTAATATTTGTGTTATACAGGGAATAAACATGGGAATTAAAAGACGACTTCTATATTGTTTTTGGTCCAAACGGGATTTTTTTCGTAAATATAATTTTGTAATATCACAGTTAAAACACTGAAAACTACTAGTCTCGGGCAGTGGCGCAACTAGTGTGGCGCGCCCCCCCCCCCACTTGCGCTCCAGCATGATCATGATTGTGGACCATCTTTTATCAAATTTTGTCAATTTAGAAAAAAACAACATTCTTCTTTGGCGCTTTGCATATTATTTCAAATAGAATTTCTAACAAATTTCTCGTTTTTGACTTAAAGAAACTTAGAAAGTCAATCTTGTCGTGTTACTTCTCATGAGTATTACAATACCTTATACCATTTAATGTTACACAAAACCTGACAACATAAGAAGAAGAACAAGAAATATAATAAGGTTTATAACGGACTATTAGGACTTTTGCAGACTATAAGAGAAAATCAGGGATAAGCTGGTAAAGGACAGAGGACAGAGGAACTTCGATCAGAAAGGTTATGGATTATGGACAGAAAAAATATAATCGATTAAGGCACTATACAGTGGACAAATATGATTAGTGGATGAATTACAAAAAACTGCTGTTGACTGTAATGGGGGACTTTATATACATTGTGAACAATCCAAGCCAGGGGCTAACAGACACTAAGAAATACTTGAAAAGACACTAGAAGAACAGCAATTTTTTGGCGCTTCGCGCACATGTTCAATTAATTTACTCATGTCGTCATTTTGAAGCTGAGCACAAAGCCAACCCCTCAACAAATAAAAATTACTGTTTTTTTACTACAAATCCTGAAAAACAGCACTTTTATGAAACATTTTTTGACAGGGGGGGTCGCCCCTATACCCCCCCTTCCCAGCCCCTCAAAATCAATTTCTCCCTCCCCCTCACAGAAGTGCTAGTCGCGCTGCTGGACTCGGGATTTCCAAAATGTGGTCTACCATTTTTCACCTTCAAAATTGACGGAGATATTAGGAAAGGAATTGAGTCTTTGTAACAAACTCTGCTTTTCTAAATCCTATATCTTTGGATTCCAATGTCGTAGACCTTAGATATTTCAAACTATAAATTCTGTAAGATCAAATAATAAAAGTTTGAAATATCAAAGATTTACGACATTGGATTCCAAAGATATAGGGATTATAAAATCAGAGTTTGTGGCAAAGACTCAATTCCTTTGTCCAGATTCCAGTTTATTAAAAATCAACAAAACTGATTAAATGCTTAATATCTCCGTCAATGTTGAAGATACAAAGATATTAGATTTCTAAGACGATATTCAAGTCGTCTCTCAGTACCCATGTTTAATGGGTCCCCTGGATAAACATTCAAACCAATTTCGTGCTGACGTATTAATAATTAAACAGTTTTGTTGAAGAAAGCTGGATTCAACCTTGACCTAAATATTTTCATAAACCTACTTCCAAGTAGTTGAACACGATACAGTGCAGAATATACGGGATTATTTTTAATAAAAAATGTATTTCCCATCCTGCTTTTTACCGCCTTACGACCAACATTACCGACCTATGATTCCCCCAACAGAGGGAGCTTAAGTTACTTAACCTCCCTAGGGACAATTGTGTAAAACAACCACCAGCTATGCCATTGCCAAGTATTCAGGAAAAAATTTCATCTTAAAAGACTACAAAATTGTGTACAACTACTTTTTCGGAAAATTAAAAATTATTCTTAACCACAAGTTTCCTCAACCAATTTTGTTTTTACAAAATATCCCTCGCTGCGCTTTGTAAGTAAAATTGGTCTTGAGAACCCTTGGTGATGTAAAATTCCCTAAACTTCCCTGTAAAGTATTTGTAAATAATAAAACAACTTATATGAAGGTAAAGTCAATTAGGATCTTCTTTAGATAACTTTTTTAAATCTGTCCTTTAACGGTCGCGGTATTACAAACTGTAATATAAAATTGTTCATTAAGTTATAAATAATGTAAAAGATGTTTTGCACGAGTATTAAATATTAAATTACTATTGAATTTTAGATAAAATGTACAAAGGAACAATTTTGATATTTTCTTTCTGTATGAACCTGCTTACTGGGTTTAAGGTAAAGCTACAGCCTACAGGGTGTCCCAATAAACATAGAAATTTATAAATGATACGAAATCGGCTTTGTTAAAAATAGCTTTGTGTCATCTCATTTTAATAGACATAATAAAGTTATGTCTGCTATAAGTATATTTTATGTAAACGGCAAAAGACTGGTTTGTTATCCTGCACAATGTTTGAGTTATTTTATAAAATTTTGTAACATTTTTTACAAAAAAAAACATGACTTGAGGATCGATTATGTCAATATAATAAAGACTACTTTTTTATTCAAGTTTTAATTGTGAACAAGCTTTATTCGAATCACAAGTAATTAAAGAGAAGCTTTTTTAATTTATAGTTTCTCTTTATTTTCTTGCTTTTTGAATCCATGCTGTTTAAAAGCCTGTTTATAAATCCATGTCTTTATTATATTGATAAAATCGGAGGTTTTTGCTCCGGTTTAATCTGCCCCTTGTTGTATTAGTTACTCTTTTTCTGATTTTGTAATCTTAAAAAATATTTCAATCTGAAACAAAACGTTTCAACAAAACGTTTCAAAATATGTTTACAATAAAACTGTGGTCGTCGTTTATATCAGTACAATAAAGACGACTTTCCTTTTTAAAATTTGATGTTTAATTCAAGCCTTTTTCGAACTGCAAGTTTTCGGACAAACTAATAGACGAGATGTTAATTGACAGCTTCTCTTTCTTTCCATGTTAATGTGTATCCATGCTGTTTGAAAGCTTAGTGTAAATGCAATTAAAATCGAAAGTCGTCTTCATTGTATTGTTAATAAAGACAACTATAACTATAAACTGTTTAGATTACTAGTAGACAGTACAATGTTAATGGAGATGTGACTGTACAAAACGGGAAAATTATCATTACTGGTTTCAGGTACAGAGTCATCCATAAAGGATGAGACTTTAATAACGACTTAATTAAACTTCCTTAGATATAATGATTTTTAGGTTGGTCGTGTTTTTTTAAATAGTCTTTCAAGATAATTTTGGAAAGAAATAAGAAAGTGAAAAACAAACTTCGACACTGCAATTGGTATTATATAAATACATATCATTTTCATAAACATCAATTTAATAAAAAACAATTGTATTAGAGCATTCAAATCAAACAAACATTCAAAAAATGATTTTAAGTTACATTTTTAGTGATACTACAAAAGCTGATGGTATATTTTTAGTTACACAGAAGTGTATGGATGGATTACTCGGCTCCTGAATAACTTTATACTCAGACTATCTGTATCCTTACACTCTGAATCTAGACCCTACAGTTTAACTACAAAGCATAACCGTTCGTTTTGTATATATCTGGGGAATTTCTCGAAAACAAGATTGTGTGACTAATTCTCGAGAAATTCTCCACAATTCGTCCCCAATTTCAGAGATTTTTCGGGGATCAGAGTTTTGGAACTTAGTTTCGAGAATTACCAAGAAATTTCTGAGAATTTTTCCGAAATATTTCTCCGAAAATTCTTAAAAAATTCTCAGGACTTAGTCACCAATTTTACGGATTTTTTTGGGAGCTGAATAAGAGACATAGATTCGAGAAATTACTGGGAATTTCTTTTGAAATTCTTGGGAAATTCTCAGGACTTGGTCTCTAATTTTACGGATTTTTTGACGAACTTAATTAGAGACTAATGTTGAGAAATTCCTGAGAATTTCTTAGGAATTTTTCTCCAAGAAATTCCATGAGAATATCTCAGGAATATTTGTCCAGAAATTCTCAGAACTTGGTCACAAATTTTACAAAATTTTCTAGTTCATTTTTGTTCAATAGGTGTCTCTGAGCTTCCCTTTTATTATGAACTGCCCTAACTAAATATTTTTTCTGTGCATCCTTATTGATGAAAAATGATTATGAACCCTAGAACTTTCTTTTAAAAAAATTGTATGGAAAAATGATTAAATATTTATATTAGTTCTTGTCAATTCAGTTGTATGGAAAAACAAAATACAAGTCAACTACTATTGGGTCTAAGTCCTGGTCAGTAAATTTACTCAGGAATATACTGAAAATATCTCAAAATAAAAGGAACTTTTGAGGAAATCTTGGGAATACTTCCAAGTAATTGGTTCTGAAAAAAAATCTCTGGAAATTCCCAAGAAATCCCAAATTTGGTCGACATTTTCTCCGATTGTTCTCCAGAATTGGTAATGATAAAGGAATTGAGTTTTTGTCACAAACTCAAATCTTCTGATCCCAATATCTGTGCAACCAGATGGTGCAAACCTTTGATATTTCAAACTTAGATTACTTTATCTATAAGTATTAATAGTTTGAAATATCTAAGGTCTACGACATTGGGTTGCAAAGATATAGAGAATAGAAAATCAGAGTTTGTGTCAAAAACTCAACTCCTTTCCTGAGATTGGTTTGAAAAATTCCTCAGAAATGGTTATGATATATTCCCCGGAATTAATCACAAGAAAATCTCCAGCCCTGGCCAAATGTTCATCCCAGGAATTTCTCAATGAAAACCTCTCTCCAATTTCTATCTACATGTTCACCGAATTTTCCTATGAAACATTCCTTGGAATTTCCACGGATTTTTTTACAAAATTGTTACCTGGGATTTGTGCGTAATTAACCGGTACAGGTTAAAAATCAGTCTGACCGCTAACACTGATCAGTACATTATAATTAATGCTAGACTTTACTAGACTTCTAGATACAAAGATATAAAAGATATTTAAATTGTATATTTATTACTGAAGCAGTTCTTGATGATATATTTCTAGTAACACTGGAATAGCTCCTGATGATATGTTTCTAGTTACACTAGAAGAGCTCTTGGTGCTTTTGTTTAGTTTCACTGGAAGAGCTCTTAAAGATAATTTCTAGTAACACTGGAGTAGCTCATGATGCTATATTTCTAGTTACATTTGAAGATCTTGATGCTATATTTCTAGTTCCACAGGAAGAGCTCCGGATGCTATATTTCTAGTAACACTGGAAGAGCTCCGGATGCCATATTTCTAGTAACATTGGAAGATCTTGACGCTATATTTCTAGTTCCAATGGAAGAGCTCCTGATGCTATATTTCTAGTAACACTGGAAGGGCTCCGGATGCCATATATTTCCAGTAACACTGGAAGAGCTCCTAATCCATATATTTCTAGCTACACTGGATGAGCTCTTAACCCTATTGCTGCTGGGGGGGGGTCAAATTGATGCTATATTTCTAGTTACACTGGAGAGCTCCTGATGCTTTATTTCTAGTTACACTGGAAGAGCTCTTGATGCTATATTTCTAGTTACACTGGAAGAGCTCTTGATGCTTTATTTCTAGTTATACTGGCAGAGCTCTTGATGCTATTTTTCTATAGTTAGACTGGCAGAGATCTTCATGCTATATTTCTAGTTACACTGGAAAAGCTCTTGATGCTATATTTCCATTTACATTGAGATCTTGATGTTATATTTCTAGTTATAGTGGAAGAGCTCTTGATGCTATATTTCTAGTTACACTGGAAGAGCTCTTGATGCTATATTTCTAGTTACACTGGAAGAGCTCTTGATGCTATATTTCTAGTTACACTGGAATAGCTCTTGATGCTATTTTTCTAGTTACACTGGAAGAGCTCTTGATGCTATATTTCTAGTTACACTGGGAGAGCTCTTGATGCTATTTTCTAGTTAAACTGGCAGAGATCTTCATGCTATATTTCTAGTTAAAGTGGAAGAGCTCCGGATGCTATATTTCTAGTTACACTGTAAGAGCTCTTGATGCTATATTTCCATTTACATTGAGATCTTGATGCTATATTTCCAGTTACACTGGAAGAGCTCTTGATGCTATATTTCTAGTTTCACAGGAAGAGTTCTTGATGCTATATTTCTAGTTACACTGGAAGAGCTCTTGATGCTATATTTCCATTTACATTGAGATCTTGATGCTATATTTCTAGTTACACTGTAAGAGCTCTTGATACTATATTTCCATTTACATTAAGATCTTGATGCTATATTTCTAGTTAAAGTGGAAGAGCTCCGGATGCTATATTTCTAGTTACACCGTAAGAGCTCTTGATGCTTTATTTCTAGTTATACTGGCAGAGCTCTTGATGCTATTTTTCTATAGTTACACTGGAAGAGCTCTTGATGCTATATTTCTAGTTACACTGGAAAAGCTCCGGATGCTTTCTTCTATGTTGGAACAACGGGTTCTCCGAGTGAATCTGGAACTAGGGTTCAATATCCACCAGGATCAGATGCTCCATTAGGTAGGCAATACAGGTTAGACAAATAGGGCAAACCATGTACAGACAGGGAGGACAAAACTTACACAGACAGGGGAGGACAAAACATATACAGACAGGGAGGACAACACTTACACAGACTAGGAGGACAAAACATATACAGACAGGGAGGACAAAACATATACAGACAGGGAGAACAAAACTTACACAGACAGGGAGGACAAAACATACACGGACAGGGAGGACAAAACTTACACAGACTAGGAGGACAAAACATATACAGACAGGGAGGACAAAACATAGGGAGAACAAAACTTACACAGACAGGGAGGACAAAACATACACGGACAGGGAGGACAAAACTCACACAGACTGGGAGAACAAAACTTACACAGACAGGGAGGACAAAACATATACGGACAGGGAGGACAAAACTTACACAGACTGGGAGAACAAAACTTACACAGACAGGGAGGACAAAACATATACAGACAGGGAGGACAAAACTTACACAGACTGGGAGAACAAACATATAAAGACTGGGAGAACAAACATATAAAGACTTGGAGGACAAACATATAAAGACTGGGAGGACAAACATACAAAGACTGGGAGGACAAACATACAAAGACTGGGAGGACAAACATATAGGCAAAGAGAAAGAGGACAACAGATGAAGTTGTTGGTTTAGGTAGCTTTAGCTGTTGTATAAAAAACACAGATTTTACAACAAGGACATAGACGTAGTTGTTGTATTATGCATTATGGATTAGACAGATATGACAACTATCAACTTGTTGCATTATAATTCACAGATTATACAGATAGGACAAGGATGAAGTTGTTGTTTTATTTAACACAGATCATACAGATAGGAAAAGGATGAAGATGTTGTATTATTCAACTCAGATTAGACAGATATGACAAGAGACTTATTTGTTGTATTAGGTAGCAAGGACATTCAAGACATATAGAACTGGAGACGTAGTTTTTGTTTTAGAGAAACCAACCTAAAAAGAAAGCAACCTAGCTGTTTAAAGGGACTGTTTATCTCATTCCAGCTGGGGCCACCTAACATTTTTTAAAAGATAATTCAAAAAGTATTGGTTTGAGACTTTGCTATTTATTTTTCCTTTTCTAACTTACACATGCCCCTCACTTTAGGATCGACGCAGGGCTTTTATACCTACTGCCTGAGCTCTCAACCATATGCCTGAACTCTTTATTTTACCTTTCCCAGACTAAATTTAGAATTAGACCTACTTCCGGCCACTGGATTTCAATATTTTAAAGCTCTTTGGAAAGCCTTGAACAAGAGCAAGCCGATTGCACAACTTTTGCGAAGAAGTTATTAAAGTAGAGCCCAAGAGCTTCCTTAAAGTGTATCAAATGTTATATATATATTTATATCACAAAAAGGAAATAGAGGGGAGGGTCCCTGGTAGACCNTTTGGGGCAAGGAGACGTCAGGGTTTAGGTAAAATGGAAAGAGGTTGCAGTTCTCATGATGTCCCTGAACTGTGACAACTTTTAGTTTAAGAACCTTAAAATTACTGTTTTCAAGACGTTGCAAGGTTTATAATGCTCTACCATTTCACAAATCCGAATCTTGAACGTGTGCTGGAACATTATTCAACTTTTGTAACAATTTGTAAAACAGGGTCGACTTTGAAGTGTCGCAACGCCTTGCGCTTTGATTTTACCGCTCTAACTCAGAAATTCCTAATTCTGTAGGCCTTTATATTTACATTTTACCACTATGCAGCACTTGTTAACTTTGTTTTTAGAAAGTTTAAATTGGCAGAATTCTCATCGAGTTTTGCTTGAGAGCTTGAGACCTTTAAATGACAATGAATATTTAAGAATATTCAACAGTTCAAAATAAAACTCACTCCCAACAATTTAATAAATAGAAATGACTGAAATAAAAAATAGTTAATTTAAATTATAATTATAAAGGATCTGTATACCAAAGGTAAAGAGAATAAAGATGATTGATTTTCCTGCACATTTTAAATAAACAATTTCCTTTTGTACTTAAATATTATTTTTAGAACAAATTATAAAGTTACAATTATATTAATATTATGATTTTTCAATGTGTGTACATTTTTATTGTGAAAGTACAGAATAAAATATACATATTTTCGATATTTTTGATAATTTCTTGTCTATATTTTGCTTCGAAAATGTGATATGCTGACGATTGATATGACAATTAATAATAACTAAAACAAATCCTATAAATACAAGGTTCCCACGAAACATGACAGTAGCAAGACAATTTGAAAGTCTGCTTTGGTCTTAGAATTTATTTGAGACATTCAGTCGTCAACCTCCTTTTACATGTATGAATCTTGAAACAATAACCAGAAAATTCGCCTAGTCTTGGGATTTTCAAAATGTGGTCTTCCTTTTTGTACTTCCGGTAATTTTGAAAGCTTAAAAAATCATGCCACATTTTGGAAATGCCCATACTAGGGCTATTTTGTGACTATTAACTCTGAAATTTTACGTCTAAAATTTGTTTTTTTCAAAATCAAAGACGAGGTTTAAGTCGTATGGCTACTTTGATGTTTGTGGGACACCCTGTATTTAACCCTATCCCTGCATATTTGCAAATTTTAAATAACCTGATGCGTAATTAAGAAAACTAAAAATGTGCAAATTTCTTTTAGCGGATTGTATGCATATAATTTGCAAAAATGTCTACGCAAAACTTGTGCAATCCTTTTTCTTTATGTCATTGGCTTTCCAAAAAGCTAAAAGTTATCAAAATTTGACAAATGAAAGTGGGTCAAAACAAAGATTTAGTTTGTTACAGGAAATAGTAGTCATTCAAGCACCTGTGCCTGAGGATTCAGGCAGTTAGACCAAAAGGAAGGGCTATGGGTATTAGGAAAAGTCAGAAAATTTCAACAGCCTCAGAAAAACACTTTTTGAGTCATGTAAAAAGAAACTACAGGTGGGGTGAAGATTACAGGTAGATTATCAGATATCTCGGTAAAGTTGTCAATTGGGAATTTGAACATTTATGTTAACATATGGAAAGTTCTAACTTTGGAATTTAAAGATGTGGGAAGCTCTCACTTGGAAGTTTAAATATATTAAACTTGGGAATAATTACATAGATGGGAAAATATAACTTGGGAATTATCCAAGTACCAGGTCAAAGTTCTAGTTTAAATTACAAATTTAGTAAAAATTAGGCATTCGGAAATGATTTTAAAAAAGGCCCGAAAATATGTTTGAGTATTTGGTTTTAATTTAGAAGGGGTTGTTTAACAAAGTTTTTGACGTCTGATTCTTTTATTTGTTGTAAAACTATGTTGCATATTTTAGTAATTCTCCGTTAACTTCAGCTAACCAATATTGTTGGAGAAACAACCAAATCATTTAGATACAGTCGATACAGGGTGTCCCACGAAAAATGACAGTTGATAAATAGTTTAAAATGTCTTCTTCCATAATTAGTTCGGTTGTTTGATATTAAAGAGAATGATGAAAAATATTGCATGCCATTATATTATTGTAAAATTGATTTCAAAGTAAAATATATTTGAGAAAAAGATGTTTTTAACGAAATGACTTGCAAAAAAAGTCTTTAATATTCAATATAATTTACGGAAGAAGACATTCAAAACTATTCAACAACTGACATGTTTTGTGAGACACCCTATACACATACATTTTTATGTTTTAATAAAAAATTTGTATGAAAGCAAATTGTGTCTAAATGTTTTATATTTTATGTATATCTAAAACAAAAAGAAACCTTATGATTATTTTTACAAAAATCTGATTTGATCAAATATATGATTAAATACCTTTTTTGTTTATTTATTTTTAAATTTTACATTTTTAACAATATCCTTAAACAGTTATATGATAGCAGATGCAAATATTTTGACATTTCTATATTTCTTGCTCTTCATTTTCTTTTTGTTTCTACATCTTTCGATCATATTTCGGCTAATTTTGACGTCCTAGCAGTTTTGTCAAGCTGACAGCTATAGAACTAGGTTTAGGTGCCAGGTTTCCTTTTTTTCTACAGTACACACATTTGATGTGTCAGCAACTAAATTCGAACTGATTCAGCTACAAACACATATTTTTGGCCCCATCTCCAATGTTTTCTTCATTTGCTAATGGAATAAATTGAAAGTGTAAAGCTTATCATCAGAGAGTTCCCATCCATTTTTTTTGTTCAATTTTTTTTTCTTGTTTCTTGTTTCTTTGTTTTGTGGCCTCTCCAAATAGTTCTTGTGACACTGAGTTGGAGCAGGTTAGAAAGAGACTAAGAAAGCTTGAAGGAGGAAGGGTATGAGGAATTTCAGTAGAAGATCCCTGCTCTCCTAAGAAAGCTTGAAGGAGGAAGGGTATGATGAATTTCAGTAGAAGATCCCTGCTCTCCTAAGAAAGCTTGAAGGAGGAAGGGTATGAGGAATTTCAGTAGAAGATCCCTGCTCTCCTAAGAAAGCTTGAAGGAGGAAGGTTATGAGGAATTTCAGTAAAAGATCCCTGCTCTCCTAAGTGTTAAACTTTTTCTAACTTAAGCAGAATTAATAAAACTGCACTGCTTATGCAAAATGGGGATTTAAAACCTGTAAAGCCCAATCAGGTGGAATCTTCCACAGTGTGTAGTCCAGTCCTCACAGCTGGCGGAGAAAAAGACCAGTATTATTGTTTATGGCTTATACCTATCAAGAGTTATACTTCTGTGTTCCTTCTTTCAGTTGAGATGTTGATAAGTTGATAAGTTGAAGATGGAGGTCTTGTTTACTGTTTAGTTCCTATGTTTCTCTACTTCCCTGTAAGATAAGTCATGAGCAACTATACGCAGTGCTCCGGGCTCCTCTGAGCTGTGGAGCCGGGAGCTACAATGGGTACAGGCCTGTACCCCCCAATAGCAGAAAGCAACTGATAATTAAATACATAAATCAACACATTTTATATTTACTACAATTACAAGCCATTATTTTTGATGCTGACTTTTTCAGGTTAAATTTTGGGGAAGCATATCTTTCAACGGACCCAGAGGTATTTATATAAATAGGTTTATTTTAATATTTTTACAATTTTTAATGGTGGTGCCAAACCCTAGCACTGGGCCTAATATATTTTTGTAAAAGATATGATATTCTAATTATCTTCTGGTTTTTCAAGCCTTAAATCTTTGAATCCAGATGTTGCAAACATACCTTAAAACTGAAATTTTAAAATATTAAAGGGTTACACCCTTATAGGTTACAAAAAAGATTAATTGGAAAATTTTGTGTTATCATAATCAGATTCTTTGTTTGCAATAAAAAATTCCATCAATATAATTTACTAAATATATTCATTTTAGAAAATCAAGTCAATAGGATCCGGCCAGGAGCTTAACTATCCTTCCTGCATCCTCATATTGTTCTCTTGTATTACAGTATTTAATCCTTGAAATAGGATCCGGCCAGGAGCTTAACTATCCTTCCTGCATCCTCATATTGTTCTCTTGTATTACAGTATTTAATCCTTGAAATAGGATCCGGCCAGGAGCTTAACTATCCTTCCGGCATCCTCATATTGTTCTCCTGTATTACAGTATTTAATCCTTGAAATAAATATCAGCATTTAGTCTCAGGATAACAAATATATTCTCGTAAAAGGTTTCTTTTAAATTTAGAGGTGTTAATAATTCAATAATCTTCAAAAGAGTAAGGACAAACTCCTGATGATGCCAAATTTTTTGGCGAAATATATTGAGAAGAAAATGATATAATTTTAGTGCTAGAGAGTTGGGTTGGGATTTGTTTAAAAACGATCTAAAGTGTTAATAATAATCTTTGTTATATGAAGGATATCACAAAAAAAATCCCAAATTCAAGATTGTGTAAAAAGAGAGAAACAAAACATAAGAATATCTTACGCAATCTTTAATAAATTAATAACTGTTTTCCCACATCTCGGAAGGAAGGTTGTTCCAAGGAAAGTTTTCTTGAATGTTAAAATATTTTCCGCGTATTTTAAAATTGAGTTAAATATTCTAATATACATATAATTGGTGAATATTAAATAGATTACAAAAGGCGTATTCAAGAATTTTAGTCTTTTTCATTTCCGACTATATACATATATTAAAGATTGTTTTACATCCTTGCTTTATCTTAATTGGATAAATTAACTATATCCAATCATGTGCGCAGTTAACTTTTGGGAAGATGTAGTTTTTATAACTAATTAATGTTTTTTTCTGGTTTAATTTTTCGGGTAAAGTAGTATAATGACACAAAGCAGTTGCAAAATTAGATGTAATATAAATTGTGCTGCAATTCTTCAGTTGTTTTCGAACTCCTTTTATGTGTGCGTAAAGTCAAAATTATAGGAGCTACGAGGTCACGAAGTGGAATCCGTGAAGTTGGAAAGCTATAGGAGCTACGAGGTCACAAAGTGGTATACAGGAAGTTCCAAAATAATAGGAGCTACGAGGTCACAAAGTGGTATACGGGAAGTTGCAAAATTATATGAGCTACGAGGTCACAAAGTGGTATACGGGAAGTTGCAAAATTATAGGAGCTACGAGGTCACAAAGTGGTATACAGGAAGTTGCAAAATTATAGGAGCTTCAAGGTCACAAAGTGGTATACGGGAAGTTCCAAAACTATAGGAGCAGGTCACAAAGTGGTATACGGGAAGTTGCAAAATAATAGGAGCTACGAGGTCACAAAGTGGTATAAGCGAAATTTGACCTCCTTCTTTTGTCATCTAGGTTTCCAGTTATACAGAGCTAAAGTTTTTTAATTGTTAAATTATTAAATGATCAATAATTGTGATCAAAATTTCTCACGGTTTATTTCAAACTCATTTAATTTTTAAAAACAATAACATGATTGTTGTTGACTATACAGGAGTAAGCTTGAACGCCCAGTTTGCATGTGGAGGTAAAATCCCTTGATAATCCCCTCCCTCCCAATCCTCTCCTCCTACTACAGCAGAATCCACTATATCTCCGGTCCACAGATCCTTGATTATGTAAATAGGATTAGTACCATTAGTTCAGAATTCACGCTTTCTATTTTTAAAAATTAGGATTAAAACTTACAAACTGTTACTTTAGAAAACTGAAAACCAAACAATTTTTCCCGAAGTGAACTTAATTTTTTAATTTTTTATTTTTGTAGTAAGCGACGATTATGAATGTCATCTTATACATATATGTTTTTTCATGTTTTTGACTCCTCATTCTACGTCAAAAACGAAACGACCGCAGTGCGTTTTTTCAGAAAAATGTAATTAAGACTTATCTAACTAAAGCTACGCAGCATTTTGGAAACAACTTTTTTGTTGTTTTATTTAAGTTTTTGAATCTTTCTGGATTTCACCGCTAAACGTAACAAAATAAGATTATTTAATAAATTTGTAAATATATGTGTCAACAAAACGATGATGTTTGTTTCTTAAAGCATGAAAATATGGCAACATTCTGATTTTACATCAATTCGTTATGACAACTTTTGAATTTGAGAGATAAGGTTTTGCTCTCCTCATTTTACTTATCCCTACAATAGGAATGAAATTTACATAAGATAGGGTCTGCACAAAATGGGTATCAATGCATGATCACTAAATTTTAAAACAGAATCTCTGACCCCTGGCCTAAAAATATCCTTCTGTAAAAAGCTAGTGTGGGTACCAAGGTTCTTTAATAAGGTTGGTTACTCTGGATGTACAGGAAACGTCTTCTCCTTAGCATAGATAGAAAGAATCAGCATATTGCGTCACTAATTATAGAGGCGAGAGAGCAGTCGGATACTATTTTTCTATGCTAAGTAGGCGACCTTTTCCCTACACTGGAGCTCACCCAGACTCCAGAGTAACTAACCATTTATTAAAGAACCTTGGTGGGAGAGGACATCTCTTACCTGAACAGAATATACTCCTGCAGGAACCATAGCATCCTCGCTCCAGTTCATCAATATTTGTTTCTCAACGTCAAACCGGTTTATCACAACAACAACAAAACTGTTTCCAGAGAGAGGACCTCCCCACACCTTATTTAAATCAGACATTTTTATTAAAAGAACTATCTTTATTGTGTTTTTTGTTTTTCTGACGTCTGTCTGCAGCAAATAAACGTCAAAACGGCTTGAAAAATTGGGTCAATGGGTTTATGAATAATAAAGAAGCTCGAAAAAATATGGACATATATTGTTTTTGAAAGAAAAAAAGTCATTTTAAATTATACTACAGTGAAACCCTTAATAACGAATACATCGAAAGAATTCTGATAATGGAATGTTCCAGATATTTAGTTTTTTAATTAAATGATTATATGGAACTCTTTAAAACTGTTCCCGCATATTCATGGCTATTTATTTATTTTCGCAAATACTGAAATTTTCGTAATATAGTATAAAACTCATTGAAAAAGTGTCAAGACGACATTTGATAAATTCTTCCGATGTAATCGTTATTAAGGGTTACACTGTATTATATAATATTAATTGAGCATACTACCTGCCAGGAATTGTATGAAGAGTATACTACCTGCCAGGAATAGTTTGAAGGATATATTACCTACCAGGAATAGTATGAAGAGTATACTACCTGCCAGGAATAGTTTGAAGGATATATTACCTGCCAGGAATAGTATGAAGAATATATTACCTGCCAGGAATAGTATGAAGGTATACTACCTGCCAGGAATAGTATGAAGGTATACTACCTACCAGGAATAGTATGAAGGTATACTACCTGCTAGGAATGGTAGGAAGTGTTTACTTCCTACCAGGAATATTATGAAGAGTATACTACCTGCCAGGAATAGTATGAAGGTATACTACCTGCCAGGAAAAGTATGACGAGTATACTACCTGCCAGGAATGATGAAAATGAATGCAGCCCTCTGCCCCTAAAAGTTTAAATTTAAATATTTTTTATTCTTATTTTTGTTTGTTTATTCACACATTTATTTAAATACTAATGCAGTCATTAAGCTTAAAATTAAAGAAAATGAAAGCACAAAGACAAAGTTTCCCACTTGAACGCTTAAATACAATTGGAAACAATTCCTTCATGTTTACCTAGCAAACCTCCCATAGAACCATGAGAGCAACAATCCTGTACAAATGTTGAGGTTAGAAATTCGTAATAATATTGTATGTACAAGGAACCAAATAAGTGTAATAAATAAATGCATGACTGATAATTCCTAATTTTCTAGAGTGGAAACTGGGTCTGCTATTGTTTTTTTTATTTTTGTCTCTTCCGATTACAAAGTTTTTCAATTACACCTATAATTAGAAAAATTAATCATAAAAAAATGAACCTTTAAGCATTGTCCTTGTATTCCTAATGGATCCTGGTTTACAGCAATTAAGAATGGATTTGTGATAATCCTATACGCTTCACTCTCCCTGTAGAACAATCAGTTTAAAAAAATCATTTTTAAAGATTTAAAAATCATTTTTTTGGGGTCACCTCTTTATTGATTTGTTTTAAGACTTGCCTGGTGATTTTGGTCATATCTGTACCAAGCATAAGGGGTGATTTTACCAAGCACCAGAGAGCAAACATAGTTTGGTATTCAACATCAGTCATACCACCTTTACCTTAGATTAAATTATAATTTTTTTATTTGTCGTTAATCAAATTATCTTTATTAACGGAAAATATTCGAAGAAGAGAAATACATCTTTTATTCCACAAAGGATGTTTTTTTTTCGCGCAATGTTTCCGCGGAATTTGTGTATTTTTGAATGCAATTTTGTGCCAAACAGATTTTATTTGCAAGGAATTTGCACGCACTGATTTTTCCATTCAGCCATGGAAATTCTATTGGCAAATGGCACTTTCTGATTATGCAATGGTAGAAGTGGAAAAGATGGTGAATTTAATGAGATGAGATGAGAGCACTTTAAAGCTAGAATCATAACAATGGCCTGACTTCTGATTGGTTGACTATTTTTATGTCGCAGCTAGCTGTCATTGGTTGAATCCGGAGAAATTCCGCCAATAACAATGAAGTAAATGAAAAAGCATTCTGGTCTCAATTAATCAGATCCTCTTTCCTCGTGCATTATTAACATTTTCATTACAAATAAATCAAATACAAGTGTAAAAATTATCTTTAAACTGAATACAATCTGTATGTACACAGACCAATGGTTTTACTATAAATTAGTTCTATTAAATGTTCCTACCAATGAAGAGACCGTCTGGATAGTTCCAACCACTGTTCGGTCCCTGTACACCAGAACCTCTAAACCGGTTCTCATCATTCACATCAATATTATACAGCATGGAGTTCCAGTTGTCTGAAAATGTATTCAACATCTTAACTTTAAGAGAACTGTGTCCGGATTTAATGAATTTGAGCCGCGTCTTAAATCCACCAAAAACCGGTTTCAATAGAGCGCAGGCTTAAATCTTGAAACATTGAATACAATTTTAAGTGAAACCAACCATGTTTGAGCCGCGGCTTAAATTTGAAAAGATTGAGGTCAAAAATTTTGAGCGCATGTCTAAATCTCCCTAGGAATGCAAAACTAGATGCTTTTTAGCAAAACATTTCTAAATAATCCCTAATCCAGAGATCTAGCCAATTCTCATAAAATGTTCCATACAGTTCAAGCTTTCTTCGATCAATTTTGACAGGTCGCTCACAACGTTAGAAATTCTAATGCCAATAATGACGATTATGAAAAATAATATCCTGATTAATAATATGCTAAAAACTTATGTGCTACGAACTACTCATTCATATTCATTTCCATAGAAATTGTTCATTTGGCGTACTCCGTCCCATTTTTCTTTATATAGTTGGAATACAGGATGGGTACTGTATAAATTGCTCTAGCTCCTTGAAAGTGGGCCCGGTCCTTAAAAGGAACTGGAGTTTTCAAGGTCAAGGTTTGATCGACTTAGGCAACATACAAACATACAATTTTGAAAATCTTTGTATTCAATTTTAACAACTCGCCTGCAATATCTGCTGAGGTTCTCCAAAGATGTCCAAATTTATTTCCAAATTGTTCAACATTTCCAAATCCCCAGGCACACAGCTCAAGCGTAATATTTCGTATATTCTGCACAGTTTTTAATCAGAGTTTTATATTTTTTGGAGTTATAGAGTTGATATTTGTATTTTTTATTCCATGTATTTTTTAATCCATGTATTTTTAACATATGTGTTTTTAATCCATTTGTTTTTTAATCCGTGTATTTTTGAATCCATGTATTTTTGAATCCATGTATTTTTTAACCCATGTATTTTTTAATCCCTGTATTTTTAATCCATGTATATTTGAATCCATGTATTTTTAAATCCATGTAATTTAATCAAGGTTGATCATACTTGGATGTTTTTTAGAGCTTTAGAATTGTCGTCTAATGGCGAATGGTTATACGGTACAGCCCTGAATATATAAGGAGAGACAGACAGTATAAATTCCCAACAAGCGTCTAGCTGAAGTTTTATATACTGTAAAGGTAACCCTGTACAAACTACAAGCTAATTGGACTTTAAAAGATTATTTAGAACTTTAAAGCACTTGATTTTAGCTTTAGATTTAAAGAGGTAAATAAATCATGATAAATTTCAACCCTTGGACCAATGGGGGACTTATAGTTTACATTATATTTCTTATTTTGAAGATCTAATTTTATAGATTAAACTTTCCTTAACATTTTTTATTTCATCCGCCATTACAGAATACCTTTCTTCTTCACTTGGATCCTTCAAAAACAAAGATTAGTTTATATCATTCTTAAATTCTTTGCATTTTTCTCCAGTGTGTCTCATCAAAAATAAAAGCAGAGAGAAAAATGTCAGTTCTTGAAATATATAATGGCATTCATTTATAAACATTATTTCAAAAGTAGGATTCTTATACTCCTTGTCCTGGCATTTTAAAAATCAAATCAAACTTTTTATTGTTTTTAAAATCTCATCATAATTTTTTTATTTTTGACCTGCCAGATACTAGGGAGGTGTTCAAAGCTTTTAACCCAATCAATATATACTCCAGATCCTAGTTAGCAATCTGTTTTAAAATCAAAATTAAAAATCAATTGCGAGGGTAAAAAATGATGGCATGTAATGTATACTATATCAATTAAAAATAGTAAAAGTGTAATTTCAAGTGACCCTCCATGTAAATGCCCGATTTAAATCAGTACTCTTAAAAGCTTTAACAATGAATTGTGCATTTCTGCTGCCTGTGAACTGGAAAACATATAGGAACTATCAGCAATAAAGGTTTAAGAGTTACCATTGTGAATTGAGAAATGAGCATTGCCATTTTTGCATGGAAGGTCACTTCAAATTTCGCGTTCAATCCCTTTAATGAAAGCCAGGAAAAAGAGGCAATGCCAAAGGGCTGTAATAATGAAATGTTTGTCGGTATGTTTAGAAATTAAATTAATTGTACTTTTTGAAATTTGAACAAAAAAAATCATTTTGCTTACCATTAATGTTAGTTCTGCCATCTATCTGTGGAAAACAGTTGTCATACTATCGATCAAACAGATATATGCAGTGGTCTCCAAAATGATATGAAATTTGGAAAATAATGTTAGTTTTCGTGTTTATTTGCTTTTGAATAATTACTCCTTTGAGATAATTAAATGTCTTCTTATAAACAGAAGACTTTAAATGATTATAACACTTTGCTTTGGACTTAGTTGTTGCAAAGATTAAAGACTTGGTTGAACAGCATAGACGTAGTTCAATCACTTCTTTTCATCTTGATCCAGTGCACAAGAAAAGTATTTGAATCCCGTCTTCACACTCTAGATAGATGTAAACCTCAGTCATAGGACAAGTCAGGCGGATACTAATATCGAAAAATAGAAGAGAAACAAATCATAGGGAAAAAACGAGGATATGGCTGGTCCAGTACTATACAAGGATATGGCTGGACCAGTACTGTAGTCTGTACGAGGATAGGTCCGGACCAGTACTGTACGAAGATTGGGCCAGGCCAGTACTATATGAGGATATAGACGGACCAGTACTGTACGAGGATAGGGCCGGACCAGTACTATACAAGGATATGGCTGGACCAGTACTGAACGTGGATAGGGCTGGTCCAGTACTGTACGAGGATATGGCTGGACCAGTACTGTACGAAGATAGTAGAGCATTCATCACCGTGATCTTGCCAGGCTACATTTGTTGCATATAACGTGCTGGGTCGAATTTACAATTCATACACTCATACTCTCCAGTCTGGACTACTGCAGAGTAGGGGTGAATGCATATACAGTACATGATGTACCGGCACATTCTAAGAGTTGGGTGTAATTATCCCTCACAGTTTTAGATGGAAGTGTATACAAGGTTCAGCTATTTATTAAATCTGGTGCTAAGTTACTAATATTCTGTTTCTCTAGATGAACCTTAAAGTAGTCTATCTCGTATTCCAGTAACATTTCTACATCGGTTTTTTCATAGCTGCGCACCCAAAATTCTATTCTTGCAATAGTTTGTTTAAATATAAGCAGCTCTATTCAATTTTGAGACTTCTCACTGCATGTTGGGAGTCTTTAACCAAGCAGAAGTGAACCGTGTTAGATTTAGCCTGCAATGAGGAAAAATAAAACATATTGATATAAAAATCAATAAAAATATATTTTTAATGAATTCAATTTTTCCTTAAAGATCCAGGAAGGTTTCCAGAGCAGGTGAATCTACAGTAATATTTTGTGTTTAAAGCTTGTTTTCAAGGGGTCTATTCATAATGGATGTAACATATAGGATGAAAAAATAAAATTATTTTTTTCTCAAAAATCTAATTTTTTTTCAAAGATCGATTTTTTCAAAATTTTTCAAGTATTTTAAAAATTCCACGGGCAACGCCTGGCTGTTTAGCTATTAATCAATATTTTGACAGAGATATTTAAAGAATTCCGTAGATGTTGCTGAAAATAACATAAAAAATCTCCTTTTACCTGCCTGCACTACTGTAGATTCCTATTTTTAATCCACGCTCATGGAAATAGTTTGACAGAGCCAAAATACCATTAGGAAACTGATTTAACACTTTATCATACACTAACTGTGGAACCCAGCTTTAGATGGAAAATATATGTTCTGTAAAAAGTCGGTCATATTAAGTTCTCATCTATAAGAACATTCCAACAAAGCTAAGCACATCCCCAATCAGATCTTTATGCAAATGTATTTTATGAGCTATTGTTGAAAAAATAGAAGAACAAAGATTACAACATAAACATTTAAAGATTATTTAACAATAATTAAATTACGTAAACAATCTCTTTAAGTTACGCACTGACACAATGCAAACTAAATTTTAAAAAAACCTTGAAAAATATAAAAATCTATAAATATGATATTTGTTCCTTTTCTGGATCTGGAATCATTCTCCCAGTTTCATTATCTCGACTTTATAGATAACAACTCATTTAATTATTTTTATTTAAACTTTTAGTTTTATATTTTATATTTACAATTAATATATTTCCCCGCCTCTTGTATAGATAACAACTCATTTAATTATTTTTATTTTAGATAATTGTTTTATATTTTATATTTATAATGATTTATTATAAAATCAAAAGCCATCATTCAGAGATTTGGTATCGCACAGTTTCACTCATGGTAAACTAGAAGTCCTGGTTAAAAGTCTTGAATATGACNTATAGATAACAACTCATTATATTGATTATATTTAAACTTTTAGTTTTATATTTTATATTTATAATTCATACATTTCCCTGTCCCTTGTATAGATAACAACTCATTATATTGATTATATTTAAACTTTTAGTTTTATATTTTATATTTACAATTCATATATTTCCCTTTCCCTTGTATAGATACAACTCATTAAATTAATTAATTAATATTGGGAATGGACCACGGAATTGGTAGCCCTAATGTAAAAATTAAATAAAATTAAAGAAACAAAAAATATGGCAATGTGAGTCAGTAAAATATACAAATGCATGTAAATTTGTTTTGCAAATTCTTTTATCTGAACCTTGAAAGAAATCGTTCAAAAAATGATTCACTCATTATCCTATCCCTTGTGGAAAAAATATGGTTATTAATTAGTATTATTTGTCTCTATACTTATTTTTAAAATATTTTTTTTTTATAAAATAGAAATGTTATCTATGCCTAGGGAGTTGCCAAAAGTCGTCGATTGTGAGAATGTTGTATCCAACCTGGGAAAAATAAATAGAAATTAGTTTTTTTAATTTAACCATTATTTAATTTTTAAATTTATTGTTAAATAAACCTTGTCTAACCCCAGGTCTAAGATAGCCTCGGCCTGTATTGAACTCAAGATTATTTAAAGGGAGTGTTCGCGAAAAAATGAAAGGGGGTATAGGCTTAATGCGAGTTTGACACTACTCAAAAAGTATCGATCTAAAAATGTTAAATTATTTTTTTACAGTTCTAATTAAAAGATGCCCCGCTTTAGCTTTGCTTTTACTACCTTTAATTCCCAAGTCCTCAGGCAAACTGCCTGAACACCTTATTTTACCTACACCAGACTAAATCTATATTAGCCTCTATTTCCAATCACTGGATTTTAACATTTTACTGCTCTTCAGAAAGTCTGTGAAGAAAAACAAGCTTATGACACAATTATTCTTAGAAGCACTTTTTAACATTTCATTTGTAAATTATTCTTTTTTTCTTTTTAGGGGTTGAAAATGTAAAAAATATATTTTTGCATTATTTAATTTGCTGGGTCAAAGGAAAATTGCATAATTTGACATATTTTGCGAATTTTGTTTTGAAAATTTGTTTCTAATTTAAGAATTTTTGCAAATTTTGTTAATTTTTATCTAGAATTATAAGGGCCTTCAAAACATGTTTGATATGTTATGAATTAGTATCTCTATAAAGAAATAGAGTTATGTTTTTGGGCAGAGAACACGTCAGTAGGAATAGGGTTAATAACAAAATAAACAACAACAAAAAATATCCCAACCAAGTTCTTAAAATTAACAGAAGGTTCTGTTAACGAATGGTTAAAACTGTGAACTTTGATATTTTTTACGAACAAAAATAACAGTTGATGAAAAAGAAAGCACAGAAAAAAGTAGGAACCAATGAATTATTAAAATAACGGAGACTTTCATAAATAAATATCTCAAAATTACACGAAACTTACAAAAAATAAATTATATTTGGTGTTTTAATGTTGTTTTCTGTTTTTCCCCGCTCAGTGATATTTTTTTTATTACTTAAATATATTCTTGCACCGTTAATCCATGAAATATCGTTAACACTGTCAATATAATTGAGATCATTATCAAACAGCACGATTAAAGATAAAAAGGGATAAAAACCTCCATGAACAGAAGAATGAAAGATCCCTGAAAAGTTAATCTTTTTCGTTATTTTAACTAACCAACGAAAAAAGCTTTATAATGCAAATAATGCATGAGTTTAGGACAGCCAAAATATTGTTTCAGTTGACTCTCAGATTTTAAGAATAAAGTATTTATTTTAAACTATTCTTGAGTTGATTTCCTGTGAGATCATTTTTGATTCTGAATTGAACTCAAAAAATGTATTCCAAGATGTCCAACCCATTGGTGGTGTAGGATGGAGTCCATCTGGTAACCCTGGATATATAATATGTATAGATGGAGTAGGTTGGAGACTCTCTGGAACCCTGAAACCCTGAATATATAAAATGTACTGGTGGAGTAGGATGGAGTCTATCTGGTAACCCTGGATATATGATATTATAGACTTGAAAAGAATTCAGTAATAAAAAGCCACTAGATATATTAAATGTATTGACAGAGTAGAATGGAGTCTATCTGGTAACCATGGATAAATAAAATGTATTGGTTGAGAATTGGTGGTGAAGGATGGAGCACATCTGGTAACCCTGAATATATAAAATGTACTGGTGGAGTAGGATGGAGTCTATCTGGTAACCCTGGATATATAATATTATAGACTTGAAAAGAATTCAGTAATAAAAAGCCAAGATTGAGTGGAATAACATATTTTACATTATAACAATACAAATGATTAGTGTTGGAACAAATAAGGTTGATCTGAATAAACACAACATTCGCCTATGGCAAATATATTTCCATTAGACTCTTCTGATCAGATGCTTCATGCTAACTGGTGAGTCCCGGGGAATCCCGGGGATAAGATGGCCGACAACTTACTTTCTTTGCCGAAAAAATGCTTTCTTTTCCAGTAAAATATTATTGGTCTAGATAAACAATTAAAATAAATTTTGAGTCAGATAAACGTTTGAAATTAAATTGTGGGTCTAGGTAAACGTTCAAACACAAATTGTTTGTAAAGGTAAACATTGAAAAACAATGTTTTGGTATGGGTAAACATTCCAAACAAATTATTGTTCTAAGTAAAGGTTTAAAAACAAATTGTTGGTAATGTAAACGTTTACAACAAATTCTTAGTCTAGGTAAACTATAAAAAACAAAACAGTGGTCTAGGTAAACATTGAAAACAAATTTTGTCAATATAGGCAAAGGTTTAAAAACAAATTTTTGGTCTAGGCAAAGGTTTAAAAAAATTATTGGTCTAGGTAAAGGTTTAAAACAAATTATTGGTCTAGGTAAACGTTTAAAAAAATTATTGGTCTAGGTAAACGTTTAAAAACAAATTATTGGTCTAGGTAAAGGTTTAAAAACAAATTGTTGGTCTAGGTAAAGGTTTAAAAACAAATTGTTGGTCTAGGTAAAGGTTTAAAAACAAATTGTTGGTCTAGGTAAGCGTTCAGAAACCAAGTAATGGTTTAAATAGTGTAAAGGAAGACTCGAATCGACCTTTTAGTTTACGTTAACGTTTAAAAACGATTAGTTGGTGTAAAAAACAACACACAGTTTTAAAACATCTTTTATCTATACGAGTGTCCTCTTGACTGTTACAACCATTACAGCGTCAACAATTTTACAGATCAAATTTTTACATTACCATTACATTTTCAATACTTCAATATTTGTCCTGCATGGAAGTAACATTTATTGAACAGACAACTTGGAGAAAAAATTTCAAAGATAGAAATAAAAACACCCTAAATGTAATTTTTGTAAATCAAAAATAACTATTATATCACCTTGTATTCCAATAAAGCCAATTAGCACAAAAACGGCTGGAAGCATATTTCAGTTTAAACTACTGTCTCACAAAGAAGTGTGATGAACTAAAACTAAAGATAATCTTATCTCTGATTCAATTGTTTACTTGTTTTTTTTTACCTTATTAAATAACTATAATCTGGCATGCTGGGTGATTACTTAAAGGGACTGTTCGCGAGAAACACTATTTCAACTTTCTGTATAAGTCGTTTTTAACAATTTTCTTCTTATAGACGCAACATATAGAAGTAAGATTAGTAGCGATCAAAGTGATTATTTCTTGTAAGCCTTTACCCCCTTTTTTTTCGCGAACACTCCCTTTAATTTATTCATTTCTGTTTCTTTCAAAAAACTCCCTATTTTTAAAATGGCACGTCTAATTCACAACAGTTTTAATCTTTTACTTGATTTTCAACAGAATAGCTTGTAATTGTGGACCACTTTGTTTGTAACCTGTTTAATATTAAAGAAATATTAAAATTTACTTTTGAATATTTGAAAACTGATTGAACATAAAACTTCTGCTATTTTGAGTGCATGTACTGTACAAGAACGTTTAGTCCAGTTTTCCAGAAATTAAACTCCATTTTACAGGTTTTAACATGGATTTCTCTACCCTCGTTCTTTTTTGGAAATTTCCCTGTTTGCATGGAGGGTCACTTGAAGTTACGCTTACACACCATTTCAGAGTTCAATTATTGTATCCTCACTAAAGTTTTAATTCTGAACAAAATGTTTTTATTTTGCTTACCCTCATTTTATTGTATAAACAAGTATACAGATAGGGTCAGAATAAAGATGAGTGATTAGCTATTGCAGATAAAAGCCAGACAAGATATTCGCTGCTAAATCTAAAGATTTTGTTCCAATTAAAGTTCAAAATAAATGTTAAAAAAATATCCCCCTTTCCACCGATTCTGCACTGCAGAAAAAAAACACAGTTTGAAGAAATTTTTTATTTAAACTATTTTTCTAAATAACAAGAAAGTACTATTTAATTTTGACAATCTAATCATTTAAGAGCAATAAAAGGTTTGAAGTAAAACCACGTTGAAAGTAAATGTCGTCTTACTAATTAAATATATCTTGAACATTTGAGATTGAATTTTGTGAATATGAAGGAAGCGGAAACAAAGATATAAGAAAAAAGGAAGGGGTTGTTGAATGAAATTGTCGAATGAAAAAAGGATCAATTTTATATTTATTAAATTCGTATGTTAGTGCAGATATTAGTAGGGTTTTCACTGGGGGCAAATTTGCGCAGTGGTATGAAAACATTTTTTGTGCGAAAATGAATTTTGAGCAAAAAACTTTATACGTGCAATTTTCACTATAAATCTTTTTTAATTATTCTTCCTTCTATTTAATGTTAGTTGAAATGAATTAAAAATGTCTTTATCTGTCTATTTGCGCAAAATGTTTGCACTGTTTGCGCAAAATGTTCGCAATATATATGCACACAAAAGTCTAATTTTCAGGAAATATACAATATCTTTACGAAAGGAAAGAAATTTTCGATTTATTGGAAACTTTTACAATTTTTCAAAAGATGTTAATTTTAGTTAAATTGAAAAGTATATTTCTCGGAAAGTGTCTCGAGATATGGTTGTAATGCATAATAATTTGAATAAAGCATTTTCTCTTTTAACTTTTATACATTTTACGTTAACATGAACAAAAGTTTTTCGGCAAAAAAAGTTTTGTTCTATCTGAGTAATCCTATATTTTATAAATTGACTTTTTGGTTGAGCTCCATCAGATTGAATTGACCAATCAATTCTAAATTGGAATTTTTATTACCAATGCCATTCTCTTCTCAAAATAAATCCAAACTGTTGCACACACTTTAAGCATTCAAGTAGGAATATGATGAAGCAAACCTTGTTTTATACATTAATTATTATAATTATATAGATAATAAATATAATCGACCATCTTTACTCTAAACAGACTGGGATTTCAGAAGACCATGTTCCTAAAAAACCCATTTTCTTAAAATTTCCTCAATTTATATTTTTCATCGATTTAATAATCTTTTATTAATTTATTCAATTCTGGTTCTGCCCTGTATCTAGTTGGTATTGTATGTTGTATTAACAATATGCATTTAATTAATTTGATTACGTGCACCATAGATTAATAACAATACAGATAGAACACTAGATTTCGTCTTTTCGAGATTTCAGGGGTTTTCGTTAACAATAACCCTGATGCAGAAACCCAAAGAAGTTAAGTCGCGTTGAATAAAAAGACAGAGTGGGATTCTGTAACCTAAATCTTAAAAAGACGAAATCTAGTGTTCCATCTGTGTGTATATTAATCTATGACGGGAACAAACTGAGTTCAAGCTACTCAAGCTAGATTCAATATTTCACCATTTAAAAGAAAGATAATTGTCAAATGGATAAAAAGGATATCATGGATAATTACTGGTGTGAATTCTTTAAAGGGATTGTTAAATTATTTCCATGGAAACAGTAAATCTACTAAAAAATATATGAACTTTAAACTAGATATGCAGTGAATTTAATGACATGTTCACTTGGAATTATGTTTACAAAGCCTTACTTTACAGAAAAGTTATTTTAAGTTTTGCTTTACATCTAATACAAAGATTTGAATAAAAAATGGTAAAATCTTTGAAAACTTGCTAAATATTAAATGTTCACTGCTTACACTGCACAATAATACTGTATAACGTGCTGATTGGACTATTTAAAGTCCTAACTTGAGCTTAAACGTCGTCTTTCTATTTTTCTGGTTATCTCTGTATGATATGTATTAAGTATTTTCTAAGAAAAGGCGTTCCTGAATTCAGACATTTTATTCTTGGTTCTCCTTTCATTGTTAGATTAGCAGAGCACTGGTAAAAACAGGTTTATTGAATTGTTTAATCACATTTTTAAAATAAAAATACTTTGAAATAAATTAATCTGATTATGAGTGAGAGTAATATTATAACCAACATGTTTTTATAAAACCTTTCCTTAAAATTCACTTCTTCTCCAATACTGTAATAAAACTTGACCGAATCCATGCTTCCTGAATTATATAACAGTAGAAAATCTTTGATTTTAATACCTATTTATATAATAAAGCTCTTCCCTCATATCATATATATATATATGTAGCTATATGCAACACTAAACACTGGGGCTTATTCCCACCCTCAAGGGACCAAACTATTTTTATTGCACTAAAGGACCAAGATGGGGCCAAATTCAAGATTTTTTCTTTCTCTAAATTATATATGCTTGCTTAAATTTAGATCTATAAAGAAAACAAATTGTTTTAAATTTTTATTCATAGAGTAAATTGGATTCAATTTTTAAAGCCCCATACGCTGGGACCAATTGATTCCACATATATTTTTAAACACTTTGCTATTGTAAATAAGCATTAAGCATGGGGAAATGGGAAGAGAGAAAAAAAAGAGCCGGACCCTATTAATTACATATATATTGATCTTTGAATATATCCATTATTATTCATATGTTAATGTGTAATATTTTCGGATTTTCAAACGTGTCGGATCTTGGCAAGATTCGAAGACCAGGTAGGCACTAGGCAGGCTCTCTCCTGTTCCGAAAATGTGCTTGCCAGCCAGATCATTTTATGTTCTATGGTGCTAGGGCGTCTGTAAAACCCTTATACTACACTTTTCTATATCATACATTCTATCTGTCTATCTGCCTTAGGTAGGCTCTCTCCTGTTCCTAAAATGTGCTTGCCAGCCAGATTGCTTCACGTAGATGGTGCTAGGGCGTCGAGAAACCCACCAGTCGCGGGGTGCATTTACACTACCCTTTTACTACACTTTTCTATATTATACATTCTATCTGTCTATCTGTTTATCAGTCTATCTGTCTATATATCTGTCTGGCTATATATTTATCTAGTTTCTGTCTATCTGTCTATCCATCTGTCTATCTATCTAGTATCTGTCTGTCAGTCTCTATATCTATTTGCCTGTCTTCATCTTCATCAGTCTGTTATGATTCTCTGAATCGTTGTTTGTTGACAGTGCAAGACGGATTTACAAGATTCACCAGTGTATATCTGATTTGTAACAAGGAAGCTGGTACAGTGGAAAGAGTTCTCATTTCAGCGTGTTCAGTCTACCAAACCAGATACACTCGAACAACGGCGGAGAGTTTATAAACCAGCTATGGAAAGAGTTATTTAAAGAGTTAAAGATACTACATACCAATACACCACCATAAAATCCATCATCAAATATCGTAGAGAGATGGCATTGAACTATAAGTGGGAATTCTGAGATCCATGGGAAGAGAGCTGGAGGATGAATGGGATCTGGGTGTGAAAGCTTCCTGTTTGGCCTATAATATTACCATGCATACTAGCACAGGTCAAACCACATTTATTGCCATGTTCTGATGGGAAGCCACACTTCCTGTTAATTGGAAATATCCTTTACTTAAAGCCGACCGATAAATGGAGTTATCAGACTAGACTGAAGTGATGCAAGAAAGGTTCCAGAGGGCTTATGCAGGTATGAGAGAGAAACAACAAACCAGTCATGGTAAGGTTTGAAGTTGGAGAGCGGGTCTTGGTTTTTAAGATTATACCTGGAAGCTGTGATAAATTAAGATAATATTGGACTGAACCTTACAAAATTGTCAGGAAAATGCAAGCAATAAAAACCCCGGTTGGTCAGCATAGATGTATTAAAAGAATTCAGAGAAGATGGTGTTCATGGACTTTCTAGTGATCCATCACATTCTGAAGTATTGGAAACCAACAGATGTAGTTAGCACAGGAACTGGAAACTTGTCCTAAAGGGGGGATAATATGGATAACATTTTGTTCTACTTGTCTTTGATTTAAAGATAAATACTCTTGAAACAGATAACTTTGCAGATTTAGTTTTGGGTTAGTTTTGGAAATAATATCCCCTGTAATAGTAATAATAGTAATAATAATGAAACTACCTCGTATTGCCGCTCCAGGGTAGGTACATGCCTAAGCATTAATTAAAGTTTTATGCACATTCTCTTAAAGATTTAATATGCATATTTACGAACATGATAAGTAAAGAAAAATAAAACAAAACATATTTTTCCGGAAATTTCGAACTTGAAAATGAGACACCCCTAAAATTATCAAAATGCGAAATTATTGCTAAAAAATTGAAAATTCGAGGATCAAAAATAAAATTAGTCATCATCGTTATTTTTGAAAAATATTATTTTTTTTAACCTTTACACAGTATGGTGAGCTGTTCGACCATTCCCCATTGTTGCTGCAGAATGCAACAGGTTTTCCTAGACAAACTTACATATATATATCACATATACAGGTTTTCCTAGACAAACTTACATATATATATCACATATACAGGTTTTCCTAGACAAACTTACATATATATTACATATACAGGTTTTTCTAGACAAAATTTCATATATATCACATATACAGGTTTTCCTAGACAAAATTACATATATATTACATATACAGATTTTCCTAGACAAAATTACATATATATCACATATACAGGTTTTCCTAGACAAAATTACATATATATTACATATACAGGTTTTCCTAGACAAAATTACATATATATTACATATACATTTTCCTAGACAAAATTACAGGTTTTCCTAGACAAAATTACATATATATCACATATACAGGTTTTCCTAGACAAAATTACATATATATTACATATACAGGTTTTCCTAGACAAAATTACATATATATTACATATACAAGTTTTCCTAGACAAAATTACATATATTTTACACATACAGGTTTTCCTAGACAAAATTACATATATATTACAGATACAGGTTTTCCTAGACAAAAAAACATATATATTACAGATACAGGTTTTCTTGGACAAAATTACATATATATTACATATTACAGGTTTTCCTAGACAAAATTACAAAATTACATTGAAATTTCTTCAAGAAAAATAGTTTCTAGTCTTAGAGAAATGTGCACATTGTGCACAAGCTGTTTTCTCTCCAAAAAGTACCCCCCCTTTTTTATTTTTACCTTTTTTGATGCAATTATTCTTAAAATGCAGTTGATAAGAATGAATAAAAAATTAAGGAAGAAAACCTCATGACAAGTCTTTTTATGTAACAAATTGAAGAAATCCAATTCAAGTTTATCTTAAAAAGGTAATGGCAATCACTCACATAGATATTTCAGTGTCATTATCCGATTCGGTACAATATTTACTTGCATGTACTTCAGAAAAAAAGGGTTTAATTTGATCAAGTAGAACAACATTTTTTGCTCCTTTTTTATTTAAAATTCAGATTAAATTCATCCATTTTTGATGTAAGTGTATTTGTTAAACAATTATACAATACCAAATTTAAACTTTAAGCTGATATTTGTCTCTATATAAAGTTTTGACTTGTCTGTGTGTGTAGATTGCTGTTATAAACAACGCTGAAAGTTATTCATCAAACTGAAAGCATCGAATAAAGTTTCGCAACACCTTGGCTATTGCAAGTTTACCTCACCAACTCTCTTATTCATTTTTCTAGTCCTATAGCAACGTTTCTTGCTTGAATTTAAAAGGAGTAATTGATAAAATATTGCGTGAAATATAGTTCACATCTTGTTTTGCAGTCATACAAACATTTATAAACTAAAGCATTATGGTGATGTCAAGATATAATATAATCATCATTATTACCTTTCAGCATATATCCAGGCTTGCAATGGTACTGTAGTCCAAAACAAATATTGTTCAGAAAACCCTTTATAAAGATTAGAAAAGGTTTTCTATTCTCTGTATAAGTTGTAGCGCCCCAAGTTTTGAACTTTTCCTAACTCTAAACTGCTTTTTTCATAATAACTTTATTTAAATTAATAAAGATTANGGGACAAGATGGGACTGGATGGGACTAGACTAGACTGACCTGCAGCTGATTGGTTTACATGTTGAGGGTGAGCTAAGAGACCATTCTCCATTAGGTTGACAGAATGCTCTTGTATCTCCATTTATTCTGAATCCTCTGTTTCAAATCAATATATTGGAGAAACTTATTTTCAATAATAAATAATATGGAATTTAATGTACCTGGTTTGTATTTGAAACAACATTAGGAAGCTGATTATTTACTTTAAATGTGTTAATTTATAGATTCAAAGGTTTCAGTGTTGCTCAATGAAAGCGGGAAGAAAATTAATTCAGACACTCATAACAACCGTTTATCTATTTAAAATTATTTTCTTTCACATATAGAATAGATATGTTAACGTCATTGACAAGGTTTGTTTTAATTTTAAATCACTGCTCATAAGACTTTTTGTATCTAGCATTTTCTCAGCGAATTGTTTTATAAAAAACTCCCAGTTAAACATTGAATTTTTAAAGAGATATAATTAATTCTAGTTGTGATTAGAATCCTGTTTTATAATAACTGGTACGTACACAACCCGATCAAATATTTGAACAGTCCCATTAACACAGACAAATAATCAGATGTATTTCAACAATGCTTTTCTATGCAATGAATTATTCATAGAATTGTGAGAGTGCCGGATATTATCTAGATTAAGTTTTATATAGCAAGCAACAATTTAATATTAGAAACTTTAAACAAAATAAAAAAGTAAAATTTAGACAGAAATTTATTTTGATTATCATACAATTAGTTTCTAAATCCGAAGGTACAAAACAATTATGTTTTTGATTAATTCCATTTTTATTTTGATGCTTAAAGGAAGTGTTCGTGAAAAATCGAAGGGGGTATAGGTTGATGTCGGATTAAATTCGCTATCAATCGCTACTAATTTTACCTATATCTGTTGCATCATTAAGGAGAAAGTGGATAAAAACGTCGCATACCTTATAGCTTAGCTGCTGAGCAAAATGGAATTCAATCTGACATCGACCCATATCCCTTTTCATTTTTAGCAAAAGCTCTTTTAAATTCTTGACATAGATTCTAGAATATATTCCTGGGGCAAGCTAAATACACTCGTCCATTTGATTCATTCTCAGTACTGGTAATCTTTACTACTGGGTCCTAGATATACAAACATTACAGGGTGTCACAATAGATGAATAAATAAACATAGATAGCTTATGTACCTAGAATTGTGCAGTCCGCGAACTCATACTTCTAGGGGTCAAAGTGTACTTAAATGATAAGCGGGGTGGTTTGGTGTTTTAATGGATTTCAGCTCCGATAATGTTAAAAATTGAGGGAACAGCAGATTTGACAACTTTTTCCCATTCACTTTTATACAACTAGATTTAGGAAAATGTTCGTTGCAGATAACATTCGGATTGGGTCTTTTCCAATCTACTAGGTTTAATTATTCCTCCCGAATAGAGTGTAAAATAACTCCGGGAATGGAACTATTTGAACAACAATATTTCACTAAGCAATATATCATATTGACGAGAACTGGAGAAGGACATGAGAAGGACTATACTAATTTAAATTTCTCTCTACAGGACTCATGTACACCACAAGTACTCAATGACATAAGAACAGCCAATGTTCACAACCGAACTATAGTTAATCTATATAATAGGAATATCTTCAAAACATCTCTGTACATTTATATCTTTCAAGATGAAAAATGTCGTCTTATGCGCAATCTATCTTTATCTATAGGTGTCACAATAAACATTCTCAGTACTGGTAATCTTTACTACTGGGTCCTAGATTTATACAAACATTACAGGGTGTCACAATAAACATTCTCAGTACTGGTAATCTTTACTACTGGGACCTGGATTTATACAAACATACTAAATTCATTATGAAATATTGATTATACTAGAAAATCTTTTTACTATCATACTTTCATGCATTCTTTATTCTCAATAAATTTTCATAAATCTCAGAAGGACATAGTCTTCATTCAATTCCAATATTTATTTGGACACCCTGTGATCTGTATGTACAGTTTTACAATTTTCCATATGGAGAAAAAGTTGTTGTATTCATTTAGCGATATTTTTTTGTGATACATAAAGACTAAGCTTTGCCATTTTTTTCTGAAAAGGGATGGCGGAGGACTGGAGGTGACCTATTTGATGAAGGGGGTCCCTTCAAATTTTAAAGTTACACGCCTAATTTGTGTTTTTTCCCAAAACTATAATAAAATTGGAAACTTATGACCTATAATGACCTCATATGACCTCTAATGACCTCGATAAATAGAAAATGTTTTAACTATGGCTTTAAACATCTCAATCTATTTTAGAAATAGGGATAGGGTTGAACCCAAATTCTGATATAACTAACCTTGATGATGGTTTTAATATCAGGACAAGTGATTTGATCACAGGTAGGGATCAAACCATTCCATTTACCAGTCGGTAAACAACGTAGATTTTGGGCACCAACTAAACAAACAAATCTCAAACATCAAAAACCTAACTGTAAGTATCCATATTTTAAATATATTGTCTATCCGAGAAAAATGTGTGTCGCAAAAAGAGGTTGGACAACTACAAAGGTTTTCATGAGATACGATATTTAAAAAAAAACCTTCCTTTAGATGGCTATCAATAATCTAAAACTATCTTTAAGTCGTCTCTTAATTGTTTTTTTCAGCATTGAATAGTTTCATATTGTATCCTTAATGCGCGAATGCCTTTGAGAGGAAGTGATCAACTTATACCTATAACTAAGTAAAAACGTGAAGATGTAGTGCTTGGCGTTGCCCGGGGCATTTTAAAAACCAATATTCAAATTTTTTTAGCCTCTCTTAATCCCAAGGTTCCCATCGCCCATCGGTTCCATAAATGTCAGCTAATTTGATCCAGCCGTTTGGCCAGTTATACCTAACATGTATATAAAAGCGAAGAACTTTATAATATAGATAACGTCCTAATTTAAAATTATAATGTTGCCTTTACCTTTGAACCTTAAACCATAAACTGTTACAGGAGAATATAAAAACAGTAACAGCCTACCTAAACTGTTACTATTACTACAGGAGAATATAAAGACAGTAACAAGCTACCTAAACTGTTACTATTACTACAGGAGAATATAAAAACAGTAACAACCTACCTAAACTGTTACTATTATTACAGGAGAATATAAAAACAGTTACAACCTATCTCAACTGTTACTATTACTACAGGAGAATATAAAAACAGTAACAACCTACCTCAACTGTTACTACAGGAGAATATAAAAACAATAACAACCTACCTAAACTGTTACTATTACTACAGGAAAATATAAAAACATTAAAATTCTTATTAAACTGTTCCTATTTATACAAGATAATATAAAAACAGTAACAACCTACCTAAACTGTTACTATTATTACAGGAGAACCTAACAACTGTTCCTAGTCTTGTGACTGTTGTTGAGGATACAAGACCATTAGTCAGGTTTATAGTTGGGCAATCTAGAGCAACAACCTAACAATAGAAAAGTGCAAATATATTATATATATTATATCATACTAGCTTGGGAACCAAGCCTGGCCCAGGGGAGTCATAGTTTGTCCCACTGTTTACCCGCTCCCACTCAAATATGTAGAACTACTCAAGTTAATATTTCAAAACCAAGCTAAGAACATTCCCTTGGGTCTCCCGAGTTCCCCAATCAAAATTTGAGGCAAATCGGTCCGTGGTTCCTCAGTTTGGATCGGACAAACTAACAAACAAAAAGAGATTACAACTTTGTATATACAGGATATATAATAATCATATTAATAGAAATAATAATAGAAAAATATCATTGTTATTATTAAAAATATTTGTTTCGGATTTATTAAAGGCTTTCCCAAAAAGGATGAGACTGTAAAGTAATAGTTAAGTTGAGTCTTAGGCTTTGAATATAGTTTACACTACTCTCACGTGGATATAACGGTTCTGTCAATATTCCAGAAAGCTTAGACTTTCTATCATGATTTGATCCATGAAACATAATTTGTTAGCTTTGTTCTAAAATACTATTTTGTCGGCATATGCATTTTGAATGAAAATGTATGAAATAAGCAAATCCGTAAAAAAATGATTATTGAATTAAAGACCAAAACACGTTTGATTTCAAATAGAAGAAACCGAATACTGCTCACTCTGCACTGGTCACTGAATTCCCATGTTTTTTGGGACACCCTGTACATGTTGGTGTACAGAGTGTACATTGCAAGTGTGTACATTGTGGGTGTGCTTCACAGCTGTAATAAAGCTGAGTGGACCCTAAATTTTTTGGGAAATTTTTTAAAGCTCTGCATGGTGACTTTGAGTTTCACTCTAACAAATTTTCATTTTGACTATCGTTCTTTTAATAAAAATAATTTGTTCTTTTAAAAAAGTTAGAATTGAAATTCAGGGTCAAAATCAGAGAAAAGCTTTGGAAGACGTGGGCCCTGGAGTAAGCAGAAATAAGATACTGTCGCTAAAATCTTTAAAAATAACATTGCCTCCTAAAAGTTGGGTAGCATCAAATGCGAATTGTTTTGAAATTTCCAAAATGTGTTCAGCCGTTTTTGTAACTTAAGAATTGACTGAGATATTGAGAAATTAGTCTAAAATTAAAAGCATTAAATATAAAACCAAGGTTGTTTAATTCTTTAGTATGTCCGACGAAGGAGGATAAACTTTAAAGACTGACAATGTTTTAAATATATTCTTTTGACAACAACTAACTTTACGAAAATTAAATACAAATTGTAAGTCCAGGGTCCAATGTCTAACGTACTGCATTACACCCTACCCAGAAAATTACATCAAACCTTGACAATAATATCTATTCTATTATAAATCCATGAGAGAAAGTGTACTGTATATATAATATAAATGTATATATATTGTTTAGTTACAAAATCAATATTATTTATTGGCATAAACTTGGTTGCTGGTCCAACTTAATTTAGAATCAAATCAAACCATGTCTTCTTTCCCAATATCGAAATTAATGTTTCGGAAAATGTTTTGATAAAATTGAAAATTTATCCTAAATCTCTGTATCATAAGAAAGTATTCAAAAAGTACTCAAGAGATTTAAACTTTTAAATTGTTTTTATTAAAAAAAGTTATGATAAGAGATTTCGTTTTCTGTATTTAAGCAGAAGACCTTATTAGAAACCTGTCCTATTGAGTGGAGAAGTACATATGTACTCCCCTGAATGTACTACCTGTATCTGTATAGAGGGGAAGTTGTTACGTGGAGTAGTACAAGTGTACTCCCCTGTATGTATTACCTGTATCTGTATAGAGTGGGAGTTGTTGAGTGGAGAAATACAGGTGTACTCCACTAATTGTACTACCTGTATCTTTAATAGAGTGGGATTAGTTAAGAGAAGTAGTACATAAGTACTCCTCTAAATGTATTACCTGTATCTGTATAGAGTGGGAGTTGTTGAGTGGAGTTGTACAAGTGTACTCCCTTGAATGTACTACCTGTATCTTTTATAGAGTGGGAGTATAGTTAGAAGATGTAGTACAAGTGTACTCCCTTGAATGTACTACCTGTATCTGTATAGAGCGGGAGTAGTTAAGTGGAGTAGTACATAAGTACTCCTCTAAATGTATTACCTGTATCTGTATAGAGTGGGAGTAGTTAAGTGAAGAAGTACAAGTGCACTCCCTTGAATGTACTACCTGTATCTGTATAGAGTGGGAGTTGTTACTTAGAGTAGTACAAGTGTACTCCCTTGAATGTACTACCTGTATCTGTATAGAGTGGGAGTAGTTACGTGGAGTAGTACATAAGTACTTCTCTAAATGTATTACCTGTATCTGTATAGAGTGGGAGTAGTTAAGTGAAGAAGTACAAGTGTACTCCCTTGAATGTACTACCTGTATCTGTATAGAGTGGGAGTTGTTGATTGGAGTAGTACAAGTGTACTCCCCTGTATGTACTAACTGTATCTGTATAGAGTGGGAGTTGTTGAGTGGAGTAGTAAAAGTGTATTCCCCTGTATGTATTACCTGTATCTATATAGAGTGGGAGTTGTTGAGTGGAGAAATACAGGTGTACTCCACTGATTGTACTACCTGTATCTGTATAGAGTGGGAGTTGTTGAGTGGTGTAGTACAAGTGTACTCCCCTGTATGTACTACCTGTATCTGTATAGAGTGGGAGTTGTTAAGTGGTGTAGTACAAGTGTACTCCCTTGTATGTAATACTTGTATCTGTATAGAGTGGGAGTAGTTGACTGGAGTAATACAGGTGTACTCTCCTGTATGTACTACCTGTATCTGTATAGAGTGGGAGTTGTTGAGTGGAGTGATACAGGTGTACTCCCCTGTATGTACTACCTGTATCTGTATAGAGTGGGAGTAGTTAAGTGAAGTAGTACATAAGTACTCCTCTAAATGTATTACCTGTATCTGTATAGAGTGGGAGTTGTTGAGTGGAATAGTACAAGTGTACTCCCCTGTATGTACTAACTGTATCTGTATAGAGTGGGAGTTGTTGAGTGGAGTAGTACAAGTGTACTCCCCTGTATGTATTACCTGTATCTGTATAGAGTGGGAGTTGTTGAGTGGAGAAATACTGGTGTACTCCACTGATTGTACTACCTGTATCTATATAGAGTGGGAGTAGTTGACTGGAGTAGTACAGGTGTACTCCCCTGTATGTACTACCTGTATCTGTATAGAGTGGGAGTTGTTGAGTGGAGTAATACAGGTGTACTCCCCTGTATGTACTACCTGTATCTGTATAGAGTGGGAGTTGTTGACTGGAGTAATACAGATGTACTCCCCTGTATGTACTACCTGTATTTGTATAGAGTGGGAGTTGTTGAGTGGAGTAATACAGGTGTACTCCCCTGAATCCTGTGAACTAGCATGGTAAATGCTCAATCTGTACTCTAGAGTTGAGTCTCTCATATGTCCCTGAGCCCAACCCTGAATATCAATATAGGCCAACATTTTTAGACAAAATTTATACAAATTTCTTTGCATTGTGTTGGGTTTTTCCCAAAGGCATTTCCCAAGGGTGAATTCCCAAGTGAGAATTTACCAAGTGGCAACTTCCCAAATGTGCATTTTCCCAATGATTAGGTTAGGCCTTCAAGTTCAGAGGCGCCACTGGCTTTTTGGGGGGACCATGTCCTGCGGCTAGGATTTGCTGGACAGCCGATTGCTGCGGCTAGGACAACCTTTGTAAAATACCTTGGGAATTTCCGGCTTGGGAAAAAGCCCTTGGTAAAGTACCTAATTCATCCAAGGGAATAATCTTTTTATGAAGAGAAATATTTTATAAGAAAATATGTGAATTTATTTTTACGTCCTATTCAGATTTGTGATAATTGTTAATGAATTACCTGAGGATAGGTCTTTTTTGTAGAGTTGGTTGGAATCCATCTAAACATTTAGTATTAGAAGATTTGAGAAAAATGTTAAGAAGAATGTATTATTAATCTTTTTAGAAGGGGGTCAAATAGATCATTCATATCTTATTTTTATGCAAAAAATTAAAATTATTCAATTACAATGAATATATTTTTTTGGTTTTCAAGTATTTTTAACTCATTATGTGAAAAAAAAAATTTCTTGACGTATGACCCGAGTTTTATGGAATTAACCTGGGTTGACCGTTCTTCTTCTGAAATAAGCATTCCATGTGCAGCGTTGTCTTAGGATAGACAAGGAGTGCTCCTGTGTTGCTCTGCGCTATTGGACCATTCTCATGACGGAACAAAACTGTCGGAGGGAGCTCCTGATAATCAAATATTGCATTTAACTATCAGGGGAAGCCCCTGATAATCAATTATTATATATAACTGTCAGGGGGAGCTCCTGATATTCAAATATTGTATATAACTGTCATGAGGAGCTCCTGAAAGTCAAATATTGTATATAACTGTCAGGAGGAGCTCCTGAAAGTCAAATATTGTATGTAACTGTCAGGGGGAGCTCCTGATAATCAAATATTGTATATAACTGTCAGGGGGAGCTTCTGACAATCAAATATTGTATATAACTGTCATGAGGAGCTCCTGAAAGTCAAATATTGTATATAACTGTCAGGAGGAGCTCCTGAAAGTCAAATATTGTATATAACTGTCAGGGGGAGCTCCTGAAAGTCAAATATTGTATATAACTGTCAGGAGGAGCTCCTGAAAGTCAAATATTGTATATAACTGTCAGGAGGAGCTCCTGAAAGTCAAATATTGTATATAACTGTCAGGGGGAGCTCCTGATAATCAAATATTGTATATAACTGTCAGGGGGAGCTCCTGATAATCAAATATTGTTTATAACTGTCAGGAGGAGCTCCTGACAATCAAATATTAAATAGAACTATCAGGAGGAGCTCCTAACAATCAAATATTAAATAGAACTATCAGGAGGAGCTCCTGACAATCAAATATTAAATAGAACTATCAGGGGGAGCTCCTGACAATCAAATATTGTAAAGAACTGTCAGGGGAAAAACATAACTATTTCCAAATTCATTTTTTCAAGTAGAGATATTTATTTCTTAAATATTTTTATGTAATATTCTTATGATTCTATAACACATTTCTCAATGAAAATTAATGGCCTGCAAGGCTGAAGGTTTCAATAAAGAAAATTCGAGTTTTTCATTTTCAGGCAGAAATATTTCAGAAATATTTGTAAATATGAAGAAATTTATAACCAAGAAACTGAAGCAAAGAATTCAAAAAGAATAAACCTTCAACAAAGATTTAAATCTATCGTGTTACTGTTCCTTAAATATTACACCTACAGTATTTAACAATTTAATCGTAAATACAAAGAGATACCCACAAAGGATGAGACTTCAGAAGTTGAGAGACAACTGTAGTAAAGCATTATTCTACTTTTTTCTTACATTCAAGATATCCTCTAAACGTTTTTTCTTTAAAGTTTAATCATTTAACTATGTAAATTATATATATAATAATAATATATCATTAAGAAACAAGGAGACCAAATTTAATGAATTTGAGCTATGTCGCTGACTGTTCTTTGAACCATTAATTCAAATTTGAAAATTAAGGAAGGATTTGAATCGGTAATCAGAATTTGAACCGGCGGTAGGCAGTTTAAATTTATTAAATTCGGCCCCAGGAAAGATATTCAAATATAGTTTTTAAGTTTTAAGTATTAATTATCATTCTTTGTGGGTAACCCTGTATAGCATTCTCCCAGTTCAATCATGTATTCCATAGAAGACCTTGCCAATCCAAAAAATAGTTTATTTTCTAAAAATATATATATTTTCATGGGTTCTTCGGAAATTTTTTATAAAAAGTTCCAGTTCCTTGTTTATTGAAATATAATCTTAGTTTATTCTAAGAATTGTTCACCTCTGCATAATTATACTGCTGGTTTAATCCTTCACAGGTTGGAACATTTTCACTTAGAACTCCTTAATCTCATATATACATTCAATACATTGTGTCATGGACATTCAGTAATCAAAATAGAACTCCTTAACCTCATATATACATTCAATTCATTGTGTAATGGACATTCAGTAATCAAAATAGAACTCCTTAACCTCATATATACATTTAATACATTGTGTAACGGACATTCAGTAATCAAAATAGAACTCCTTAACCTCATATATACATTCAATTCATTGTGTAATGGACATTCAGTAATCAAAATAGAACTCCTTAACCCATATATACATTCAATATATTGTGTCATGGACATTCAGTAATCAAAATAGAACTCCACTTTAACCATCATTTAAAATACTTTTATTGTTTTCATAAACAGTAAAAGAATATAATTAAACAATAAATGCTTTCTTTTCAAAACAATAAGATCTCTCCAAACCCCTAATTCCTTCAAACCCCTGGGATCCCTCCAAACCCGGCCCTGATTCTTCCAAACCCACGGGATCTTTTCAAACCCCTGGGATCCCTCCAAACCCTAATCCCTCCAAACCCCTGGGTTCTCTCCAAACTCCTGGATTCCTTTAAACCCCTGGAATCCATCAAAACCCAGGGATCCCTCCAGACCTCTGGGATCCCTCCAACCCCCTGGGATCCCTCCAAAATCCTGTTGTATCTAGAGTGTACATGTTCCTGATTTACAGAGGAGATGTGAGGCTCCAATCAGTTTAAATTTTCCAATATCAGAGCAACGAAATACAACCTTTGAACCCTCAGGTATTATATCCTCGCTAGAAAGCATCCTGGGTTCAAAATAAAACATTACTTTGAAAGAAAATTTGATTTTGATGTTTTGAAAACGAGAGTTTAAAAATCAAAGCTTTGATAAAGAGAATTAAAAAGTAATTTCAATTTTTTGCTATTTGGAATTAATAAATAGTTTCAATGCTTTGATAACAAGAATTATGAAGCAATTTAAATGTTTTGAAAATAAGAATTAATAAGTAATTTCAATGCTTTGATAATAAGAATTATGAAGCAATTTAAATGTTTTGAAAATAAGAATTAATAAGTAATTTCAATGCTTTGATAATAAGAATTATGAAGCAATTTAAATGTTTTGAAAATAAGAATTAGGAAGCAATTCAAATGTTTTGAAAATAAGAATTCCTAAATAATTTCAATGTTTTGATAACAAGAATTCTTAATGTAATTTCAATGCTTTGATAACGAGAATTAAGAAGCAATTCAAATGTTTTGATAACAAAAATTTTTATGTAATTTCAATGCTTTGATAACAAAAATTATTAGGAAGCAATTCAAATGTTTTGAAAATAAGAATTAATAAGTAATTTTAATACTTTGATAACGAGAATTAAGAAGCAATTTAAATTTTATGAAAATATGAATTAATAATTAAGAATATAGAAATAATTTCAATGTTTTGATAACGAGAATTAAGTAGTAATTTCAATGTTTGATGAAAATTAAGTAGTAATTGCAATGCTTTGATAATGAGAATTAAGAATCAATTTTTAATAGTTGATAATGAGAATTAAAAAAATATTTTCAATATTTTGAAACTTAGGATTAACAAGTGATTTTAATGTTTGAATATGAGAATTAAGAAGTAATTTCAATGCTTTGATAATGAGAATTAAGAATTAATTTCAATGTTTGGTAATGAGAATTCAGAATAATTTCAATGTTTTGATTACGTGAATTAAGAAGATTTTTTCAAATGATTCATTTCCTGTCTCCAAGAAATGCAACAAGATTCTCCTCTTCAGTTGAATAATTACAGAACTCTTCCTGAATAAGTCTCGATATACTAAATATAGTTGAATAATTATAAAACTCTTCCTAAGTAAGTCCCGATATATTAAATATAGTTAAATAGTTACATCGAACCCCTCCTAAATAAGTCCAGATATATTAAATATAGTTAAATAATTACAGAACTCTTCCTTAATAAGCCCAGATATATTAAATATAGTTAAATAATTACAGAACTCTTCCTAAATAAGTCCAGATATATTAAATATAGTTAAATAATTACAGAACTCTTCCTTAATAAGCCCAGATATATTAAATATAGTTGAATAATTACATCGAACCCCTCCTAAATAAGTCCAGATATATTAAATATAGTTAAATAATTACAGAACCCCTCCTAAATAAGTCCAGATATATTAAATATAGTTAAATAATTATAGAACTCTTATTGAGTAATTCCAGATATATTCTATTCTTAGGTTTATTCTACAGTTGTTAAAACAAATTCGAAATATAAGAAAGACGATTTTTCCGACCCAAATGCCTTAGCCTTTTCTCAAGATGCATGTGTACACAAGATCCATTTCCACCATGAAGTACACACATGTAACCCTCGCTCCTTCTTTCCCCGCCTCACCCCTCTATAACACATCCCAGTCAGTCAGGTTAGGAGAGTTGGGCTGGTAACAGCTCCAACACAGGGAGCCTCTTGACTCCTTCATGCTGACGATGCAGATACTGAGCTGGCAGCAGGCATGCTTATACCTCTGATCTCCCTATTAACTTCTTGAGAAGCTTACTTAGGAAACTTGTGTACGGCTCTGACCGAAGTTTCCGCTATCTCGAGTTGCATTGCCTTAGTTCCATTGATAAGCCCTGTTATCCCAGTTCCTGTTGATCTGCTCTACCAACATGAAGCTCTACAACACTCCCATGAAGTACCATCAAATATCCATCATTAATTCCTTTGTTAATTTCTAAATCAACCAATTTTAACTCCGCCTTAAATGCAAATATTTCAAAACACTCGTTTTTTAAATAAATGTTAGAAATATCCATTTTAGATCTCTTTATTTTATTATAGTGACTTTTAAAGTCAACAACCATGAAGTACACACATGTAACCCTCGCTCCTTCTTTCCCCGCCTCACCCCTCTATAACACATCCCAGTCAGTCAGGTTAGGAGAGTTGGGCTGGTAACAGCTCCAACACAGGGAGCCTCTTGACTCCTTCATGCTGACGATGCAGATACTGAGCTGGCAGCAGGCATGCTTATACCTCTGATCTCCCTATTAACTTCTTGAGAAGCTTACTTAGGAAACTTGTGTACGGCTCTGACCGAAGTTTCCGCTATCTCGAGTTGCATTGCCTTAGTTCCATTGATAAGCCCTGTTATCCCAGTTCCTGTTGATCTGCTCTACCAACATGAAGCTCTACAACACTCCCATGAAGTACCATCAAATATCCATTCTTAATTCCTTTGTTAATTTCTAAATCAACCAATTTTAACTCCGCCTTAAATGCAAATATTTCAAAACACTCGTTTTTTAAATAAATGTTAGAAATATCCATTTTAGATCTCTTTATTTTATTATAGTGACTTTTAAAGTCAACAACAGTATGTACCCAGGTTTATTCAACACTACAGTACCCAAGTTTAATCTACATTAATTTCTAAGGTTTGATCTTCAGTAAAGTTCCTAGGTTTAATCTGCAGTACAATTCCCAAGTTTAATCTACAGTACACTTCACAGATTTAATCTAAAGTACAGTTCCCAGGCTTAATCTACAGTACAGTCCCCAGGTATAATCTACAGTACAGTTCCCAGGTTTAATCTACGGTACAGTTCCGAGGTATAATCTACAGTACAGTTCCCAGGTATAATCTACAATACAGTTCCCAGGTTTAATCTACAGTACAGTTTCTAGGTTTAATCTACAGTACAGCTTTCCCAGGCTTAATCTACGGTACAGTTTCCAGCTTTAAGCTATAGAAGTTAAGTTTATATAATTACCTCAAGCATATTTGATATTAATGGTTCGGCTCTAGCAGCATCAGATTCTTCAATACATTCAGGTTCAAAGGGAATCAGTCTACCACCCTGTATTTCACACAAACCATTGTTTAATATCTAGGAAATCAGTCTACCACCCCCTATTTGACATAAACCATTGTTTAATATCTAGGGAATAAGTCTACCACCCTGTATTTGACATAAACCAGTTTTGAAAATATAAGAATATGTCCACTATGGCATGAATTCCTTGCACTGTAAAGGATTAGGAGTAGGTTTCTGGTATCCAGGAATACACGAGTACTCCAGGAGTACATCATGCTTTATTCTGTCTCCAGCAGATACTTCCTTAATATAGATAAATAAGAGTCCTCCAGCATGATACTCTCTTAATATAGATATATATATATATATAGAAGTATACTGCAGCACATACTCTCTAAATATATATATATAGTAGTACTCTACCAGATACTCTCTTAATAAAAAATTGGGAGGAAGGCATAACTTATAGGTTAAAATATTTCCAAAGAAAACGAAGAAAATGAATTAATTAAAAATTAAATAATATAAATATCGAAAATCTAGTAAATCTAGAAAATCTAGTAAATCTAGAAAATCTAGAAAATCTAGAAAATCTAGAAAATCTAATAAATCTAGAAAATCTAATAAATCTAGAAAATCTAGTAAATCTAGAAAATCTAGTAAATCTAGAAAATCTAGTAAATCTAGAAAATCTAGTAAATCTAGAAAATCTAGAAAATCTAATAAATCTAGAAAATCTAGTAAATCTAGAAAATCTAGTAAATCTAGAAAATATAGTAAATCTAGAAAAAAAAGGTTTATGTATAGATACAATATATACTATAAACAAATACAGAGAAATATAGATAAATACAATATATACTATAAACAAATACACAAAAATATAGATAAATACAATATATATACTATTCCACGCCTAATCACACACTTAGTGGTCAATGTCTCCGATATTAAAACTTCAGGATACTTTGATAAGGATGTATTTTTTTGGCCATTTTAAAAAAACCTATTTTCAAATTTTGAAACTTGTAAAATTCATAAATTTTAAAGTTTGCAAAAAGTTTGTGATCCGTTTTATTCAAATTTGGTATACAGATCAAAGGGTGTCAAAGTAAAAGAGGCGTTTTTGTATTTTTTGGAAAAACGGCCAAAAAAATCGAACATTACCTCCTTTAATTTTTGAAAAAAATCTCAAACTATCTTCATTATATTAATGTGTAAAACAAATTAAAAAATTCCATTGACATTCGGACATTAAGTGGGTTAAAAGCCTGATTTTCTTGGAACACCCTGTACTTTCGTCATTTTTCCTCTTTTTGACAGCTTTTCTGAGTATTTTGCACTTAAAAGCCTCCAATTGTGGCCATCTACTAAGGTTCCGTAGAATAGGAGATGATTGACCTGCACTTTGGCCTCCAAAAACGCAGAAAGTAGGGGAAATACTTACTTTGGTGTACTCTCCATTTTGAAGTTTAGGTACTGTACATGAATCCCCCAAGCAGACTGGAGTAGGTACAAGGGCTCCAGCTGTACATGTAACCTGCAAACTGTACACAAACTGCATGTTTTATCATTGATGATTTACTGAAATCAATTAATCAGCATTTTAAAAATATTTTTTGAGAATACAAGTTTTCTAGATAAATTTTGATAAATTTAATAATAATAGTTTGACATGACTATTGCACATTTAAGATTGAAACCTTAAGGCTTATTTTTGATGAAAAATGTTGAGAAGAGAAAGTAAATTTGAATTAAAGTAAATGTTAATATATGAAACCAAGAGAAGAATCATATTTTGTTATCAGGAAGGGGGGGGGGGGG